CACGTCGGATAAACCCAATCCCATTGGCGCAGAACAGTTTTCCGAATGTGATATCAAACTTAAAGCCCGCGGATATGATGGCCATAGGTATATAACAGCTATTATTACAAAAGTCGTTCAATTTCGTTTAATCGCGTATTTATTGTGCGCTCGGTCATTATTATTATAACGAATCGCGCGTGCCGAAAACAAAAATAAAAAATACCAATAAGGCATCGTATTATTGTTGTTATTATTGTAAGACTCACGTGGTTACACTCGTACCTATACTTAGGTACTACAATAATAGTATTGTACACGAGCATAAATCGTAAAACAGTCGTGCCCCACTCAAAGTTCCCGGTTTCCGTCTAATTTACGAGCCTAAAATGAAATATCCCCGAATATCAGAGCGTTACATATATATTATTATTATTAAATTACAATTTATAACGTCGTCCAAACGAATCGTCGGCAGGTATAATATTACAAGTACCAGGTCTGTTCAGACTGACATTATTTTCAGTACATCACTATAAAACGGGGCAACTGCACGAGCATCCAAATATTATATTATGCAGAGTGTGTCCCGACAGATAAAAACGTATTGTGACGATTTATTATGGAAATCATATGGATAATAAATTATTTAAGAAATATAATATACTACGATGTCGGGAATTTTCCGAAACAAAATATTTTGAAAAAAGTTATATTATATTACCTAATGTTTCTAATTAATTTACTCAAAAAAAAAAAAAAATAATGTTTAAGTATCGATTAGAACGAAAGTGATCTCATTTGTCAGGTCTTTCGCCCTGTAAGTACAATGACGTGTGTTGTACTGGATACGATTAAAGAACATAAAATATATTATAAAAATTTAATGAAAATGTGCTTAATTGAAAATTATTTATGCATATTATTAAAACGGTTGTTCCGACGTTCTGTACTGAACAGCCATCGTTTAATGTAGCCATGCTATATTTAACACGACGTTAAAGTATTATTATTTTATGGTTTTTTATTTCTCGCCACTTAAATTTCAATAATTTTATATTTACTATACATAATAAATTATTAGATTTTCGATTATAAGGGTTGAGTAATTATTATACCTACCGTCGAGTCTATTATTTTTGCATAATAATCATTATGTATAGGAAAATTGACAGTCTATCTTCATTGTTATTATTATTAAATATTTCCAATGCAAGTATTAATATATTTCAGAAATCAATAATCTCTCTAGGTTCTGTTGAGTGCATGAAAATCATTAGACTTGACAAGAAGTATTGTCGTCGGCTATGAAAACAGGTTCGATAAAAGTTAGTAATAGCTGCAATAATAACTATATTATTGCTAACTATTATTATTGTACAATATAATATGTAGGTAAGTATAATGTTTTGCAATCATTCTTTATCTTTTTATTTCGAGAACCGTAAGAATGATATCTGTTTAAGCTATTAAAAAGTATATAATAATAGTGTATTTAAATAAATAAAATATAGTACCCTACAAATTTGAACAGCCATCGTTTAATGTAGCCATACTATATTTAACACGACGTTAAAGTATTATTATTTTATGGTTTTTTATTTCTCGCCACTTAAATTTCAATTATTTTATGTTTACTATACATAATAAATTATTAGATTTTCGATTATAAGGGTTGAGTAATTATTATGCCTACCGTCGAGTCTATTATTTTTGCATAATAATCATTATGTATAGGAAAATTGACAGTCTATCTTCATTATTATTATTATTAAATATTTCCAATGCAAGTATTAATATATTTCAGAAATCAATAATCTCTCTAGGTTCTGTTGAGTGCATGAAAATCATTAGACTTGACAAGAAGTATTGTCGTCGGCTATGAAAACAGGTTCGATAAAAGTTAGTAATAGCTGCAATAATAACTATATTATTGCTAACTATTATTATTGTACAATATAATATGTAGGTAAGTATAATGTTTTGCAATCATTCTTTATCTTTTTATTTCGAAAACCGTAAGAATGATATCTGTTTAAGCTATTAAAAAGTATATAATAATAGTGTATTTAAATAAATAAAATATAGTACCCTAAAAATTTGAACAGCCATCGTTTAATGTAGCCATACTATATTTAACACGACGTTATAGTATTATTATTTTATGGTTTTTTATTTCTCGACGCTCGCCACTTAAATTTCAATAATTTTAAATTTACTATACATAATAAATTATTAGATTTTCGATTATAAGGGTTGAGTAATTATTATGCCTACCGTCGAGTCTATTCTTTTTGCATAATAATCATTATGTATAGGAAAATTGACAGTCTATCTTCATTATTATTATTATTAAATATTTCCAATGCAAATATTAATATATTTCAGAAATCAATAATCTCTCTAGGTTCTGTTGAGTGCATGAAAATCATTAGAGTTGACAAGAAGTATTGTCGTCGGCTATGAAAACAGGTTCGATAAAAGTTAGTAATAGCTGCAATATTAACTATTATTATTGTATAATATTATATGTAGGTAAGTATAATGTTTTTGCAATCATTCTTTATCCTTTTATTTCGAAAACCGTAAGAATGATATCTGTTTAAGCTATTAAAAAGTATATAATAATAGTGTATTTAAATAAATAAAATATAGGTAGTACCCTACAAATTTAAATTTAAATCAAATAGTTATAATAATATGTAGATATATAATACTATAAGTAGGTAGGTATTATTAATTTTTTTTGTCATTTATTTTTCTGGCGGCTTATTATTGTATCTTCTTTAATAAAAAAAAAATGATAAGCGGATTGAAAAAAGGTGGTCGTTTTATTCGTGCAGATCGCTTTTAAGAATTAAAACGGTATTATTGTTCGTATACCACAAATGGGTCGGGAAAAAAATTGTCAGTCACATTATTATCTATTATAATATTAGACTTGACCTGTATATTATGTTGAGAATATTTATACAGCTTGTGCACTATAAAATAACGAAGACTTCGACGACAAACTTCACCATTCGTCAATAAATAAGTAACCTCACGTACCTACAATTCAATATTTATATTGACGTTCATTGATATGCGAAATTTAAACTTAAGTTATGATCCATTTACAAGACTGCACTGAATTTCAAATACATTTTTGTTTGCTCAAAACAAATTTTTTATACTTTAATTTAATATATTTGTAACATAACAATATAATTTTATAGTTTAATACAAAATAGGTACCTATAATATTATATTTTATCATAGTATGGTATGGTTTTTAGATTTTTAATTTTATACCTGAATGGAATAAAATAGAAATTCTCAAAAGTTTTGTTCCCCTATCAATAATATGAGTGTAACTTGTAAACTAAGCAGCTATCGTTTATCTTAACTTTAAAATTAAAATGCTTATTAATAACATGAATATTTATTCGATATTAGTTGTTTACAAATCAAACAACGTTTTAGGAATATTTTCTGCTCCCAACCGCGAAATTAAAAAATATAAAAACCACTAGGTATTTGAAAAAAAAAAATAGTAAAAATCAAGTGCTATTAGCTCTAGGTGAAACTACGGAAAAATCAAAAAAATCATTTTTTCCCTTAAACATTTAGTTATAAAATTAGAGGGTCTTAAGCGTATATAGGTAGCTTAGGTACCTTGGAGCTTTCGTATATGGTATAATAATGGAGGGCTAGATTTAAAGTTTCAAGGCAAAGAAGATTTTGGGGCTAAGACTTGCAAACTTATAATCCTATTATTGGCTGATTATAGCGGAATCCCTCATATGGTAAAAAATCATAACAACCTTCATAGATGCACTAATTTGGAACTGCAGTTAAGTGCGATCTACAGCTTAAATTTAACATCATATACTCAAAAGTCGTGAGGAAGTGATTAGGCAGGTACGTATCCTACACAATAACTACAGAAACTTAAGCGACACAGCAAATAATTAATAAATTATGCGATTGGAATTTCGTAATTTTTTAAAATCAACATTTTTATTTTAAATATATCCTTTTCCTCATTCAAAGATCTATAGGACAAAAATTAAAATTTATCATATTTTTAGGTCCCGGGGCCCCTGAAAAATAGGGGCAAATGTAAACTCCTACACGAATAACCTTTTTTCCTGAAAGTCAAAGATATATACTGTAATCTAATACATGGATATTTTTACCTGAAAAAAATAGGGTAATATCCTACACTCAAACATTTTTTATTTGAATACACGACTTTCGAATTGAAAAGTTCAAAAAGCTAAAAATGATAACTTGAAAATAATAATTATAAAATACAAACACTTGGTTAGTGATTTATTTTAATATTATTATTGTTTAAGTTTTTATTTGTATAGGTGGCTGGATTGATTTTTTTATAATACGTATTAATGTATTGCAAGACATATATTTTATTTTTTATGTCGAAAATACAAAGACATATTATTATTTTTACTGATTTCTTTTTTAACATTATTTTGATTTTTTTACCTATATAACTAAGTCGTTTGTTTTTTAATATTTAATTATGCATGGTAATCATTTAATTAAATGATTTAAACTGGAGCATATTATTACATTTGATAATTTGTATAAGTATGCTAGGAGGAAACAACAGCGGTATCCATCTTTTTAAAAATTAATTTGACTGTTTTTTTTGAAAACTTACTATTATTTCACACTCCTACTATCGTTTGTAGGAGTTAGCACTATGTTTTTTAGGAGTCAACACTATGTTTTGTAGGAGTCAACACTATGTTTTGTAGGAGTCAACTCTATATTTTGTAGGAGATTACCTACATTTGTAGGAGCTTACCATTCCCCAAAAATCGAGTGCCCCGGGGGGTAAGGGTCTCCCTACTTTAATGCGCCTTCCTCCGTCAAGTCTGACCCCACGACGGTAAGCAAAAATTACAAAAAAAAAAAAAAACCGAGCGACGATAAGCTAACGATATATAGACTGATAAATTATAAATTGTAAAAACGTATAATATTGTATGAGAAGCGTGGGGGGCACTGACCTCCGCAAGCGGGTTTGAAATCGGTGCAACAGTCGCCCAGCTTGAGGCACGCGTGGTCGCAGTAGCACGGCTTGTCCGTGGGGTCCTCGACGATTGCGTTGATGGGCGTCTTCTGGACGACGCACGCCGAGTCGCGGCCGGGACAGCACAGCTTGGCTTCCAAGCAGCTGCCCGCGTCCGCGGCGCCGATCAGCGCCAAGAGCACGGCCGCCGCGACACCGACGACGGTTTCTGCTGGAGCGGTACGACGCCGCATGACGGATGTCGAGTTCGGCTCGGCTTGAATTCGCGCGTGTTACCCCGCGGCACTCGACACGGACAACGGTGGTACGTTATATTATATTTAATGATAATATTGCAGTTATCGTTGTTATATCGTTGAAAAATGTGTAATTTTATACTATATTTAGATTGTCGAAAAATCGCCTCTCGTGGGTGACGCTCGTGCGCGCGTCTCAATTATGATTAATATTATTATTAAGGACGACCACCGCGAAGAGTATGACGCTAATAATAATAATATAAAATAATAACAAATTATTATCGTACGACGAGTGTGTCTCGTGACCACGTGCGATCGTGCTGCGACGACGTTATCGGTGCACCGGCGTTTGTCGTGGCCGACAGGTGGACAGGAACTGCCGTCGTCGTCGTCGTCGTCGTCGGGCAGTGTTCTGTAGTCGTCCGCCACGCCGCCGCCGGAGGAGAGCGCGCGGAAAAAGGGATGCGAGTGGCGCGGCGCAGTGCTGCCAGTCTTGTCGGACCGCTTGATAAAAAATATTATTACACGACTATATTATAATAATTAAAGACCGGATTTATATTCTCTTAAAATACCCAAAATATGATACCCAAAATATTCTCTAAAAAACCTTCAAATATTCTCATTATATTTTCTCAAAAATTTAAAAAATATGCAAAAATAATCGAAAAACATCATTACATGCGCTTTAATATGCATTTATTTTTTAAAATTTTATGAAGAGTTGCGTATTATACCTAATGGAATAGTATTGCACTTTAGCAAGAGTAAGAAGTTGGAATATAATATAAATATAACAGTATAGGTAATATTAAAACACAAAAACAAAATTTTGATATTTGAATAATTGATAAACTTATAAGTTGATCTTATCAGTAGATATACATAAAAATAAATTGTAAATGGTCAAAAAAATTTTTTCAGAGTACCGTAATATTAAAATTAATGAAAATAAATACGAATTTTTGCTCACACTTTACGAAATATTCCAAAATATGCTAAATGGGTTAAATATTCTCCAACCCATGAAATATTCTCAAATATGCAAAAAAAACTTTTTTCTACGCATTCAGAATTGAACGAATCGTCCACATGTTTTACTCTCATAAGACTGCATGGACCCAGTAACGATATTTAAAAACATATAAATCCGGTCTTTAAATTTATTATTAATAATACTACTACTACAACAGGAGTTCGATATCGTTTTGATATTATTTAAAATTTTATTATTACGATTTTGTTGAAAAGAAAACCTTCGGAACCGAGGCCATCGGGAGTTTAAGTTTCTATTTTACAGTAAGATAAACAATATTATAAAGGATTAATATAGTAATTATTGTAATCACAGATTTAAACGGCTCGGGAAAGGTGCTCACGGGTGCAACTAGACAAATATCTTTGGGGGTGCACAAATTGTAAAGAATTCCCAGATCATTAACACCAGATTCATAACAACAATTTGATGTGTATGTGAATTTACTATATTTTAATGCGAGTGAAACAGTGCAGATTAAGAAAATAAAATCATCACAACTATTTTAACACGATTTTTCTCACCAGTAAATTATGATTATTTAAAATACTGCTTATTCGGACTTCAGGGAGACGTGGTCCATCACTCCTCTCGCAATTTCCCAAATCAATAATGTCATTACAATTATTTCATTCAGTTAAGGAGTTTTCAACTCTGCCTGATTTGAAATATAGAAGTAGAACAGTTTAAAACCGGAAGACCTAGTCGATCGTCAATTTTTTGTTAAGGGTTTTTTTGTTTTTTTTTTAATAATACACTTACCTACTATAGGTTTGACTTTAAATGCATATAAAAAATAATCGTGCCTATGCATTTCTGAAACTGTTCAACTTACACTAATGAAACTTATAAGGAATTTTGTATTCAATTTTCAAGCTTTTTTATCAACTGTAAAAGTTTTTATCGAGAATAATTTAAAAAAAATTTCTCAAGGCTCTAACTACTTGAAAATGGGTCAAAATATTTCAAAACTGTTACCATTCATTTAAAATGCTAAATAAATATTTTGTGGAAATTGCAAAGGTCTGCGGATTTTAGTTTTTGAGTGACTTCAAAAAAATGTAAATCTATTTTTTCAAAAATTGGTTTTGCATGAAAATTCAAAGTCCGGAATCGTTTATAATAACGTTACAGTATTTACAAAACGAGAATTAAAATTTAGATTTAGTAATAAACCAATTTAATAATTTAAGTAGGTATATATTTACCTATAGTAGCTAGGCGTCCGTCATTACGCATTTTTTATTTTAAATTGTTATTGTTATTATTGTTATGATTGTATTATGTGTATTATAAATAAACATTTTTAATTAAACTAAATTAATACCTAAACGTTTATACTTTACATAATAATTCAATTACGTTACTCGAGTTGTTAGGAGTGAACCCAAGAAGAGGGACCAAAAAATTGGGTAGGGATCACCTGAAATTCAAGTTTGCGCACGTCTATAAATTGTTTTTACGAAGTGCAAAAAGTGTCGAAGTGTTCAAATTGAAATCTTTTGTTTCGCGTTTTAGATATTTTTCAATAATGCTTTGGCTCTTCAGAGTCGTTGTGAATTCCGGGTCAAGCCATGTACAGGCGCAGATCCCATGGGGGGGAGGAGGGGCAATCCCTAAGTGCTCATATACTACACACACACACACAAAGTAGGTACACTGTTCTACATTTTTTAAATAAATATTTAATAGTTCCGTTACCCCTGCACTGCAGCCATAAACGAAATTTAATTCCAAAATTATTGGGTATATCATATAGTATGTACTTTATTTTGCGCAACCGAAAAAAATTGTGTAAACCATAACAAACACATCATGTAAAAACGATTTTCCCGTGCCCGTTCCGTGGTAAACATATTACCCCTGCGGCCAGCACTCACAATGTCGAATAAATTATTCAAATCCAGATTTAACTAGTAAGTACAGCATTATGTACTTAATTTTCAACAACCAAAAAAAAACGTTCCACACCCTCACAAACACGCTGGAAAAACACATTTTCCAATGCACATCATGTTCTGTAGCAAACCCTACATGGGTGCTATATATTTCATGCGATCGCAACTCGGCTCCCCAACTATATACAACTGGTAATACGAATTTATTTAACTGCTTACAATTAATAAAAACAACGGTGGTTTCGCATATATTTTTTAATACAAATGGATTGCCAGCCATGATAATATATTTTATTAATACAAATAAACTATATTAGTATAATGTAATCTATATCGCCAAATTCAATAAGATCTCAGGTACTCGGGGGCTAACTGGGTTAAAAATTGGCCCCGGGGGAAACAGAAAATTGGGCCCAATCTCGGACTGATAGTAAAATATTTATAAGTTATCGGAAACATATGCATTCAAGCAGCCCAAATTGTCGCCAGGAACAGGCCCACCCACCACCCGCCACCCACCACCCTAACAGTCCACCCATACAATGGCGTCCGCAGGGGGGGGGGTGCTAAAGGGCTTCCCGTATTTTTGTTACTTTTTCAAAAAAATATTAATCAAGTTAAACTGTCAACTGTATATAGTAAGCAAGAAGTAAATTTCATATATGTCTTACCAGAATGAATTCATTTTTGAAAGAACATTGTATTTGCATACCAATTTTCATAAGTATGAACTACTTGTATGAAAGACCTTGTATTAAATTGTCTAGCCTTAGCTATATATATATTATATTTTATAAGTTTTGAACTACAAATTAACTGTCATTTTGACGAAATTTGAATTTTAAATGCTCACAAAATATATCAAAATACTGAAATATTTAATTTTTTTAAATTTCATGAAATTTTCAAACACTATGCCTATGTATCGTTAATATTTTAGCTATAATAAAATAACTTACGTATTACATTTTTAAGGTTTTTGACCGGATAAATAATTTTTTATCGAAATTTATAGAAAAAAAAAATTAATTATTCAAATACAATCCAAGTGAAGACGGTATGACCAAACATTTAAATTAATTTTCATTTTTTTTCTCCAATTATTCTTAAAAGCACTGAGCATTTTCAATATGTGCCGATCACATATGCATTTAAGCAGCCCGAATTGTCACCAGGCACAGGCGGGGATCGCCCACCCGCCACCCTAACAGTCCACCCATAGAGTGGCGTCAGCAGGGTGGGGGGGCTAAAGGGCTAAAGCCCCCCCCCATTGCCCGTATTATTGTTACTTTTTCAAAAAAATATTAATCAAGTTAAACTGTCAACTATATATAGTAAGCAAGAAGTAAATTTCATATATGTCTTACCAGAATGAATTCATTTTTGAAAGAACATTGTATTTGCATACCAATTTTCATAAATTATCTCTCATTTTTTAGGTAAAAGTATGAACTACTTGTATGAAAGACCTTGTATTAAATTGTCTAGCCTTAGCTATATATATTTTATATTTTATAAGTTTTGAACTACAAATTATAACTGTCATTTTGACGGAATTTGAACTTTAAATGCTCATTTCATAAAGATCTAAAAATTTATACAGTTGACCAACTAGCCAAAAATGACTATACCAAATTTCATGTACAACTACGACACCATCCAAATCCACTCATCTCACACCTATCGTCACACACACTACCCGACAATCCTCCACGCCGTCTAAAAAGACGATGGTGTAGAGACCTCCTTAATTAATTATAATCAAGATCTGTAGGGTTCTACCAATGGACGGTTTCCCTCCTCATGTAAATAATGTCATGTAATTTTAATCTTCGAAATGTAATTTATCACATTTGCTTATCGTATACTTTTCATACAGATTGTAAATATATATTTTAATAAAAAAATAAAAAAATGCTCCAAAAAAAAAACCATGATGGTGCCTATGGTAGTGTTTTATGTATGAAATATTTCACAAAAACGTGACACATTGAAATTTTTTTACACAAATAAAAACACAAATTATTTATTTTTTTAACACAATGTTCAGTGTTCTAAAT